TCATCAATGTTCCTAGTCGTTTCTGTATTACAGTCTGAAGATCATTTACATTAAAAACAAACCAAAAAGAGCAATATTCCTTATAGGAAAAATTGGAAAGATTCTTGGTCTTAAAAGAAATAAACAAGCTAAATAGCCTTACAGTGTTCTAATATTATCTCAGTGATGTGTTTACGGTAGAGCTTTTCATTATTTATCTCTCTTTCCATAGCTGTAAAATTGTTGGCACTTCCAGAGCAGGAGAGAAACGGGAGGAAAATGGACTCATTCGTTGGTTTTGGGTTTTGTTTGTGGGGTTTGTTTTTTGTTTTGTTTTGTTTGTTTTTTTGTTTGTTTGGTTTGGTTTGGGTTTGTTTTTTTTTTTTTTTTCTGATGTGTATGGCTGAATTAGGTCTTTTAAAGAGATTTGAAAGAGCAACTTAAGGGGAGGAGGGGAATCAGATTTAAGATTATTTTAGCGATCAAGGTAATGAAATTCAAAGTCAAAACCTCTTCCCTCTTTTTAAAACCAGTGTTGCTTTTATAATATCACAATGACAGATTCTGAAGGGCTTCAGAGGTATGACTCCCAGAGCATGGTCAAAGAGAAACACTGCTTTAAAACTTCTAGTCAGGTGGAACCTGATCCCCAGCTGAGGCTTACTGGTAATGGCTGGTGGTGCAAGACTGACAGTAATTTGTCCTGATCTGTGCTGAGTAAATCACATCTGATAGCATGAAATTAAATTAACTGTATGCTGAAGTGATGGGTGCTTGCTTTTTTTTTTTCCCCCTCTACTTTTTTTTTTTTTTTTAATTCTCCTTAATTCCCAAGCAAAACCTGTACCAGATCGTTTCACTATTGACAAGACAACACTGTTAGAAACATAGTGCTAGTCCAATACCTGAGTAAAATGCATTGACAGGTAATTCATGAGGGATTTCCCTTGACAGTGCTAAGGAGTTAAGGGTGTAATACAGCTGAGTCAGCTCTTGTGGCTTCTCTGGAAATACATCAGAGATGTGTGTTTGTAGGTAAAATACCCTTCCTGGATGATCACAGAGGGAAAGCAGTGTTCAAACCTCTCTCTAGAAGTACTGGAGGAGATGTGTCTGGCAAAGAGGGGAGCTGGACACCTAGATACAGTTTTTGAAAGACTCTGAAAAGCCAAGAGAGTTAAAACAGTGTAGTAGCAGTTCGTTCTTTCTTCCTTTTTTTTCTTAGTTTTTACAGATAATGTTAGAAAGAGAATAAGTTGAGCATGACTTCTTACCAGTCTTACCTATCCAAGTTAGTTTGTATTTACACAAACTGCAGTAGAGATAATTTTTTTTTTTTTCCTAAACGTCTGTTAAAATTTTGAGAAAGTCACGTAATTTGTAAACCCCTTGAATGCTGCAGTAAGAGTCAGCCTTTATCGATTTTGCTAATTTACTTTATGGCCAGCTGCTGTTACTAGCTAATTGTTATGGTGCTCAAATTAAAAACTAAGACTTCTTTTGAATACTGCCAATACAGCTATAATAATCTTTCTGCGTTAGTGTTTGTTAGAACAAGCATTATGTTGAATTGAACTAGGTATCTAATGGGTGTAGAAATATATGTGCTTGTCTTTAAAAAAACCCATGTATTATTAACAATGTGAAGATGTTAAAGAATGAATGCTTGAAATGATGAAGTACAGGTTCTGCAAAGCTTGATGGTGGACACTTTAGCTTTTTATATTATTTTCATTGAGCTTATGTTTTGAATACCTGATAGATACTGCACAAGCCACACTGTTATTTAGGAAAATAGTTTGAATCTATAGAAGATGACAAATCTGAGAGAAGCAAAACTGTGTCATTCCAGTAAATGAGATTTGCAAACAACTGCAACTTGGGAAAGATCATTTTATATTGACTAAAAAACCCTAGAAAGTCTCACATCAGATCTCAGTATAGGCTCTTGCATGAAGGAGGCTCTGGGATTTCTCTAAACTAATTTTCGATTTCACATGCTCTGACAGTTTGGAGCATAGGTCTTGTCTTGTAAGGGATAAAAGAGGACAACACTTGATTGAAAGAATTTTGGTGAAGAGTTCAACACAATCCTTGGCAGCTGCTTGCAATAAAAAACAACTGGTGTTATTTTTAATCTGGATGGATGTGAATTAATTTACCAGCTATCAGATCTCATACTTTTATCTTCTAGATTGAAGAATTGGTGTGCATTTTTGCATTACATATGTATGGATATACATACATGGGTATTCATACAGGGTATGATTGTATTATTCCCTGTTAATAAGCTCAGTAAACCCTAAGACATTATTTCCAAAGACACTATTTGTATATTACTATGTTTCTTAAGTCTTTTAAATAATGTTTGTGATACTTTTCAGAGCCATCCTTTTTATAGCATATTTCAGAATCCAGAAAAGAACCTAGTAGTGGGAATTTGTTATCTTGGGGGCAAGCAGCAATTTTTTTTTGTTTCTCTTCCTCACGTATATACAAGGATCACAGCTATCCTTTAAACAACATGTTACACAACTGATTATCTTCCATTTCCTTCTCTTTCCTTCTTTGTAACAGTTTGTCTTTATTATTTATTTCTCGTGGTACTACTGTATCACACAGTGATCCTTGATCCGGATTTCTCTATTTTTATTTTAACTTGGTGAAAAAACAATACCGATCAATTTGATAGAGACAAGTCCTTGTGGAACTGCACACTTACTGCATCTTTGTAGGTATTATTTGGCAAAAGTATTAACAGTAAATGATTAAGCTGATGAGATGGCCTTAAGGTGTTAGTTTGAAGCATAAAAAGGCAGCATGAAAGACTGCACACAGAAGCTTTTAGGGAAATGTAAAAAATCGGAAAAAAAGGTTAGCACTAGGGATAGATGTCATCTGAGAGGGTTACAACTGCTCAGAATATTGTGACTGGAAGTAAAGTGACAGTTCATGGTTCTTTTTAAAAGGAATAAAATGGTTTTAATCTACCTAAGTAATTAGTATTATTTTAAGTCTAGTTCTGCCTCACAGTGAAAAGTTACATGCTATTCAGGAAACTTATTAAAAATGTTATCTTTTCATCTTCAAAAGCCATTTCTCAAGCAAGAGTTTGGGTGCCTTCATTTGAAAATACTTTCAAGATTGTGCAGTTTATGAATAATCTGGTGGGCTGTGTACTAGAAGAAAAGTGCTCACATTGGATTCTGCTTTTCTTAGCAGAGAGAGGGGAAACCTAGCAAAAGTTAGCAAAGTTACCCTCATAGGTTGTTAGAGGGACCTGCCTTTCTCAGTAAACTGTGCAGAGGATTTAGGCAATTATGTTAAACAGGTTTCCTCATCTTGCTCTGACTTTCCCCGTCTCCATGTTGTGTTTCCTAGTTTTAAAAGGTAGTGGATTGGTTTCCAGCTGATAGAATTGTATTATAGAGGCACTGCTCTGCTTGCCTCTTTTCTGAGGTTTTATTATTTTGTTAACAATCTCCTAAGCAACCTTGAAAAAACTACTGATATTTTTAATAAAACCATTGAGTTCTCAGTGTTTAGAGGACTTCAGAAAAGTACCATGTGGAGAGGAAGAAGGATGCCCTAGAGCATTTAATATGACTTGGTGAGCAGCCTATCAGCTAAAACTTGAAAAGAAATGAAGAAAAATTAAAAGAAAAAAAACAATAAATCTATTTGGAATGACCAGCAAGTCATAGAAAAATTTAAGCATGCCTCAAGGTTCAAATATTTTGTGCATGTTTTACCCTTTTGTGCGCTCTAGTTAATGTTCATGGGTTTAACTTCTAATTTAGTAGAATCAATCTGTAATAAAAACAACGTATATTTTCCAGTTCACTCAACATTTTTGAATTCACAGCAGTTAAATCAGCAGTTTCTTTTAGAAAATATTTCAACTACATCTGGCATCCCCAGATATTTTTTGGTGGCTCTTTTGGTGGCACTCCTTCCTCAGTGGGTGCTTCCTTACGGCATTGTGCTCCTGGCAGCCTTGTTTTTTCATGGAAGAGAGAAATCAGGGTATTGAGTGTGCTGAGTGATTACATATCACACAACTGTGTTCAAGGGTAGGTGCCTAGACAATAGCCACTTGAGATAATTTGGAAATCTCTGCAGTTGATGCATTCGTTTTTAATTTCAAACATGCAGACTGTATTTGTTTCATGTTCTAAATTGTTGCTTTTCTAGGTGGGTTTTTGGTGACAGAAGTTAGTTGTTGATTAAATATGTACTTGATGTATAATTTCTAATGGAGAAAAGTTTTATTTGTGATGAAGGTTATTTTGTAAACAAAGATTGTCCTTATCCACGGATGATCAATATTTAATTATTTGAAGGGCTGGGGTGTAGGCAGTGCCTTAAGTGTAGTTTGCAGATCCTGCAACCCTTCTTATTCTTTGAAAGTATCAGTGCTCAACTGTTAAAATGCTAAGCTATTCCTTTTGTTAATTCTGTTTAATGGAAGTGTATCACAAAATCAGTAACAACCCCCCTCCTCCCAGTTTGCAGTATTGCTTCTATTCTTATTTTGAGATAGTCTTTGTTTTAGAGTAAACTTATTTGAAGTGTTTGTAATTGATGGGAGATCTGGTACGTTTTCTTTGATCTGTTGAAGTGTTTTACCAATCAGTTGCCTAGTTCAATGTTAATAACAATGAGAGGGTTAAAAGCAAAGAAATTCCATCATAGTGAAGTCTTCTCACTATTAATTTGGTTAGGTTAGTGTGTTTGAATTTTTGTAGCTTATAGAATAGTCTAAAATATCCAAAAGGATAAATCTTAATGTCATAGCAAATAGCCCTTACAGAAAATTGCAATTCTGTACTTAAAGTTTCCCATAACTGGAAAAAAATATGTTGGTTCTGAACACAGGGATCAGGTGAGTTGTTGGTTTGTTTGTTTGGGGTTTTTTCCTTGGTTTGTTTGTTGTTGGCTTTTTTTTTGTTTGGTTTGGTTTGTTTTCCCAGAAATTTACAGTTATTTTTTTTTTAGTTTGTTGTCCATTATTTTCACAGGCTGATCCAAAAGAGTTGATTCAGATGGTCACAAAGCATGTTACTCAGCATGGCTGTACAGACTGGCCTGAAGAAATCGCAACTTTGATTAATCAGCTGCATTACTACAATGAACGACTTCTGGATTTCACTCAAGCTCAGATTCTGCAAGGACTTGGCAAAGGAGTGGATGTGCAGAGATTTACAGCAGATGGACAGTACAAGAGAGAAACAATACTAGGATTGGCAGAGTAAGTAATATCTATTATGTTTATTTTCTTTATTCTAAAATGGAATTACTTTAAGCTTTATATCAGTTAACTAAATTGAAAGTAGTGCTGACCTTTAGAGGAGTTTTTAAGTTACTGATTGCTTTAGATGTTTACACGGTAATGCTGCTACAATTAGAGCCTTTCCTTTTCAACTACTCCACTTAAATGAAATGTTGCTCAAATAAATGAATCAATAACTTTTAAGTTATTGAAGCTATAACTGTGGAATAACTGGAAGCTATAACTGTGTTTATTAACTGCTTATATTAAAGTTAATCAGGGATGATGAAATTAGAGTATAAGGCGAGGTCTAATCTCTTCCTGTCATCTCCTGTAAACTTGCCTTAGCAGTCAATGAGGGCATGGCCAGGTATGAACATTTGTAATGAACTGTAGTTAAAAAAAAAAAAAAAAAAGGCAAGATAATAAACTGTATTTTACTTAATTTCGTTAAAGCATCTGTGTATTACAATATTTTCCCTCTATAGCCATTTGTAAGTACTGAAGCCTTTGCTGCACGTATTCTGACATTTAGAATGCTTTTGTCTCCTTTCAATTAATCCAAAATAGAAAAAAAGATACAGGATAGTATTGTCTTTTAATTTTAAAACAGACATTTAATTAACATTTGTATGCAGGTACTTCAGGCTGTGACCAAGTCATGGCTGTGCTTGAACTTTATATGATTTGAGGACAGTCACAGTTGAATAGCTGCTAGACTGTCAGTGGAACTGTTCTGTGTAATAAGAAGCTTTTATTATGATTTTTAATCCAATTATAAACTAACTCTATGCATAAAGCTTTTGAAGACGATATTTAGATGTTTATAGTATTCCACCTATGTAGCTACACATAGCTACAATTCCAATAGAAATTTGTTAGTAAAAAAATATTTATATGAAATGCTAAATAAGAATAATAGTATAAACTCATGTTTTGAACACTAAGCTGCTGCTTTGCATCTATAAAATCTGTACCTGCATAGATTCTGACGCTGCATTCATAAGAATAATTTGTAAGTATCTTTTAATGTTTCCATTGGAGTTACCTGTTTTGTATACATTGTTCATTGCGCACATACATCGATAGAATGTCACTGGGTAAATGTAATGTCTTCATATTTATCTATAGTAACTACCGTACAGAAATCCTTCTGTTATTGCAGGTGTTTAGTCTGGATGCAGCATGCTTACTTGCATTATCATCCAAAAGTCCTTTAGCTAGTCTCTTGTAAAAATAAAGTAAATATGAAGAGAAAGTTCCTTACATCAAATAGAGATTAAAACACAGTATGAAAGGATTAGTAAAAATAAGGCTTCATAGGGTGTGGATGAGAGTAGTAGTTCCATATTACGCAGTTGCAAAAATACAGTTAATTACTTGTTTAGCTTAAGCTTCCTTGCTTTAATCTTTTCAGTTGACTCTTAATCTGAATTTTCTAATGAAAACAATGTGCAAATTAAATCTAATTGTATAGCATATTTTTTTCTTATTTTTGAATTACCATTAAGTGCTTCGTGGTTTAAATCTTTTATGAAGGGCTGTTTTCCGGAACAACACCTGAAGGAGATGCTATCTTTTTTACAGACCAGCTTTGTACTATAGTGAGCAATTTCCTAAAACTACTTAACATATAGTTGTCAATTATCTTCCATTTTTGGTGTATTGTCATTACAGCTTATTATGCATTGTTTGTCATATATTTAAAGATCTGTGTGCCTCAGACTTAATCAAGGTTAGTTCTCAAGCAGCTAACAATTTTTTTGGGCAGAATAGGGTAGATTGTATCTGTAAAGGAATTAGGAAAACTAGAGCAAGACTGAATGAGAATTATTGAGTAATCAGTTGAAGTCTCGTGTAGTTTCAGGCCAACTATGGTATATAAGGTTTCAAAATTATTCTTTTACTTGAGGCTAGCTTTTGGTGGGTTTTGTTTGTTTGGGGCTTTTTGTTTGTTACAGTTTGGTTTCTTTTTTTCACTTACTTACCCTGAGGTCTTCAGCCTTTCACTGCTGGTGAACTTAATGATTTAATACCAATTTCTTTCTTGTCTTGTGTCACCAATCTGAAATACTTCTTCTGGATTTTTAGGAAAATTGTGCAATTATCAAGCAATCTGAATTTCATAACCTAGCTTGTGCCTTTAGGGTTCTCAGAACAATTTTGATGCATATGAATTAGATCCCTTTCCAGAAGACTAAACTAGAAGGTCCTGTATAAAGCCACTTGAATCTACTTCAGCTTTTATTAGTGATTTTAGCTTCTGAACCATTGTGTGTACTTTTGCTATACTGCTGTGCTCTATTGCCAGTGTAGACACAGCCTGATGCATTGCTACTATGGAACGAAACAAACAGCCATAGCTTTCCATCTTATTTTCCTCTTCAAACATGAGAGGAAACAAAAGGCTCTTGGCTTAAATCTTCATCTCACTTCTCCTCCAAGTTGGATTTAAAAAAAAAAACCAAAAAAAACATTTTTTAAGGACAGGCCGCTGGAAAAGTGCATCTCATTTCCCCTTATTATGAGTGAATCCAGTGGTGGTTTGTAGCTGATTGATGTCAACAGAAAATGGTGAAGACAGCAAACACGTGCACATGTATGATACAGCTGAGGTTTTAGAGAACAAGACAGGGAGAAAAATAAAATTGAGCTGCCAAATGTTTGTTTCTGTGAGCTTGAAGATAGTCAGCAAAATCCCAGCTGAACGCTACAGCACAGGCATATTTTTTGATACTTTGGAAATTCGTGCTAGCACACAGTCAGGGTGGCTGAGAACCATCCACATGAACTGCTTCCGACTTTAGTTTTGCACCAGTCTTGATGCAGCAGCACACAGGAAGTACATCCAAACTGTGCCTGCACCGGAGCTTTAGGTGGGGATTTCTCTAGCAGTTCTCAGACTCACAGAGACAGGGAGTTAGGGCTGGGCATGAAAAGGGGTGTGGAAAAGAAAGTTAAAAGGTCCTTTGCAAGGTAATGGCCTTTTTTTTTTCAGGTTGTCATTGAGTAGTAACTATATGTTTTTGTCACATCAGTGTTATCTTGGTAATAAATAGCTTCTTGTTGTTCTTCATCTATACAGTATCATTTTCTTAAAACCTTCATTGATTTATGCTGCCATTGCATTCCATTCTTAAGACAGAAGGACAGGATTTTAGTAAGGTTTGTAAAGTGCTAGAGGGAATGGCTAGCATTCAACAAGCCCAACAGCCACCCCTGGTTTGTATGATTGACTAAGTTATTGTTCAACTGAAGTATTCGTATCATCTTCCTCTTTCACTGAATCAGTCACAGAATGGTTGAGGTTGGAAGTGACCTCTGGAGGTCATTTTACCCAATCCTCCAGCTTATCAGGAGCACACTTAGGGCTAGTTGCCAAGGTCCATGTCCAGGTGGCTCCATAGCCTCCTTGAGCAACCTGTGTCAGGGCTCAGTCACCCCCATGGTGCAAAAGTGTTTCCCTGATGTTCAGACAGAACCTCCCATGTTTGTGCATGTTTGTCTCTGGTCCTGTCACTGGGCAACACTGAAGAGAGCTTGGCTACATCCTCTTCATACCTTCCCTTCAGGTATTTATGTACTTTGATGAGATCCCCTCGAGCCTTTTCTTCTCCAGGCTTAACAGTCTAAAAGGCTCTGTCAGCCTTTCCTCATAGGAGAGATGCTCCAGGCCTTTCATCGCCTTAGCAGCCCTTCACTGGACTTTCTCCAGTAGCTCCATTGTTCATTTTAGAACCACTCAGTTAGTTTCAGAAGTTGTTTTCTAAGCAAAGGTTTATTAGATAATTCCTAAATGTCATCTTTTCTTTCTGTCAAGATATTCTGTATCTGAATTGATGATACAAGGAAAGTAATACATTGTATGTTTTTTAATTAATGAAATTATCAAGATCAGTGTTGAGGACTAGCCTGCAAAATAGTTCTGTTAACCTCATCATCTCTAGTGAGTGTCCCATTAACCAGTGGCATACTTGCTGTGCAGGTCTTATATCAGTCTTCACCTTCACTTCAACTAGCAATCTCCTTGCTGACAGTACATCAAATGGTTTCTGGAAAATGCAAAAGAATATGTTCATGTGTTATGATTTGGCAACCACTGTTATGTATCCCTGCATAAAAAAAATCTGCTTTTATGTACTGATCGACAGCCTGCATTAGTGGCTACTAATCTGGAATTTACAATGTACTGTTGTTGTGGTACTTCTTAATGTCAAAAAATAAAGTAGAGCATCTGCCTGTAAAAGATTAGATGACTCTTACTGAGTGTTTTTGAAAAACTTCAGATCATCATCCTCATACGCATACATCGTTGCTTGTTGTGTTAAAAAGTGTTCTTCTGTTAGCATTGAAGTACTGAGTCCAGTTCAAAGAGGTTGGGTACAGGAAACATTGCCATGCTGGAAAATCAGAGGAAAAGGTGCTGTGGCCATTGGAACAGGAGATGTTAGAGAGCATGTGGGATTTTTTTTTCTTTTCTTTTTCCTCTTTTCTTCTGAAATGTATTTTAATAAATATTTGTATTTATCTTAAAATATATTTATTTCTTTTAATTTTAAATCTTGTGTTCTGCCTCCTTTTCTTTGCAATGTAAAGTGCATTACTCGGTGTATTAGTCTGTATTACTGAGTATTACTCAGTGTAAAGTGCCCAATATTTTTCAGGGGTTGTCGTAACTAAAAGTCATTACAAGAGGGTTGTGGATCTTTTGTTTGCTTGTGTGTTTGGTTTTTTGTTGGTTTGTTGGGTTTTTTTCCCCACTATTAGAGCAGTAGCTATAATGCAAAGGATATTCTCGTAGCTGGTTGTGAAGATTTTTCAGCATTATGTTCTTTCCTGGCCTTTTGCTTTTCTAGTCTGCATCATATATCTTACTTTAATTCTTACTTTAATTCTACAATATCTGTAGTAATTATCACAGTGGAACGTAGTGGTGTGTTGGATTGAGCATCTAAAAATTGGAATCAAGATACATGGGTGTGTCAGCTGTTCACCTAAGACAAAGTCTAGCTGTAAGCCTCATTTAGCACAGATCTATGTTTCTAAATGACAAAAACCCCAAAAACCAAAATCTAGTAGGATATGCTATCTAATCTGTAGGGTTTTTTCCTGCTTTCCACTTAGTCGTACATGGATCATGACGATAGTACAGAAAATACACTAAAAGTTACTGTTGCTCCACAAAGTCTGCCCCTACCTTCCAGGATTTTAGAAAATAATATAGAGAATATAAAGAAAATGTTAAATGTAATATAAGGTTGCTCAATTTTATGGAGTTGAGTTTTTTAATTCTGTAAACTAATTTACTGACAGTTGCAACTGTATTTTGTAGTAGCTCATGGTGTGTAAGACTTTTTTCCTTAGTCCCACAAGACTTTTAAATTGAAGAATCTAAACCAACATGGTCAGCACTACTCACATCAAATACAGTTTTTAAAAAGTTGTTCATGACAGTTTATTAGGGTGTAATTGCAAACAGGTAGTTTTGTCTTGGAATTATCCCAAAGAAAAAAAACTAACAAAAACAAACTAAAACCAAACCTCAGAAACACCCAGCATGAGCCTTCATAGTGTAATTTCTATACCAGCCTAAAACCAGGAACCATGTGTGTCTACTTGAACCATACTAACTTCAGTGGATTAGTAAAAATTAATATGAAGTTAACTTAAGGCTTTGATCATTAAACAGATTCTGCATTTATTGTTTTGTTAAAGGGATATACAATAACAGAAAAAATGTTTTTTAATGTCTCTAGGACACTTGCAGTGGGGAGTTGGACATCATCACACCTTTTTCTTAGTCTGTGAATACTTAGAGTGTTTTTGTCTGTGAGCTTCTAGGAAGAGCCTTGAGGACCTAGATGGTGATGCTAAAACTCTGTTGGTGTTGCAACTAAATGAATTAATATGAACTGTTTGTCACACATTACATCCTTTACCACTTTCAAATGAAATGGAAACTGAGGGTTTTGCTTTAGCACAAAGGTTAGACAGAAGCTGTCACTGAGAACCAAAGTGTATGGGGAGTAAGTGCCTGTCTTTGGAATACCTCTGTGGTTTGATTTATTTATTGTTCATTTATTTTATCCCCAAATGAAGCACTGAGTATAAGCAAATGTAAAAAAAACCCTACAAAACCATTACTTTTCTAATGTAAATATTTATTTTCATGTCATGTCTCTAGGGGCTTAATGTAACTTTTGTTTTCTTTCATGTCTCTCCTCCGTAAGAACACTAGAAGAAAATGTCTACAAGATTGCAGTTTCTTTGGCTCAGCGATACAAAGTTCCACTTTGGGAAGTTTATATGACCCATCTGGAATTTTTATTCACTGACAGTGGGTACGTTTTCTCCCTTGCAAATACACGTACCATCCTGATACACAGAAACGTGCTAATCTAGGAGAAAGTGAAGTATACTGCGGTTAGAGCTTGGTTTGTATTTTCATGTTTCTTGTGTTGTAATAGTTTGGGAATTTTTCTCTTCCATGGGATGCTTTTGTAACCAGCTACAGAAACAGATGTACAAGAGAGGGTAAAAGTCTTTATGTGTCTTACTGTTCTGAGTATCCTGGGACTTTTTTTCAGTGCTTAGGTTTCCACAGCTTTGAATGCTTAGTGCTCTCTTCTAATAGCAACTTATCTTTTCGTTATTTTCACAGAACCTTGGAATAGGTCCTGAAGCTCAATAGATTTTTATGTAGTATTTTTTTTAAAATGTTGCTATTTATTGATCTCTCTTCTACATAATAGCAAAGGAAATAAATATATTGGAGCTTCCCATTCACATTATTCATGTATTCATCTCAGTTTCAGGTTTTTTTACAGAAGCAGGGTTATTTACAATATTTCTTTGGAACTCTTCTACCCTACAAAATTATGGCAGACCAGACCCAGGATTGATGGAGGGCATGAGGGGAGGGATGCTTTTTTTTTTTCTATTAGGGGGTTGGTTTGAGGACTTTTTTTGTTTTGCCACCTTTTTTTTTTTTAATTTTTTTTTTGACATTTCGTCAGTCAGACAAGTATTTTTGCCCACTGAAAGATGAATAACCCCATTCAATGAAAGGCTAAGCTACTTGCCTGAATAGTATATTCAGATGACAGTGATGGAGAGCCCCCTGTGTAATACAGCAGCTCTTATTTTCTGTTCTGACAGATGTGATCAAATTAGTCTCATTTTGTTTCAAATTTTAAATTGTGAAAGCAGCATTAGCTTGCAACTGTATTTGTACCTTTCCTACCATTAATTAAAAAGCATTAAAACATTTTATAAAATATGAGGCATAAAACCAAAAGACTCATAGATGTTGGTGCAAGATCTGAGAACATGAAACAACACACTGAGATTTTTTTTTTTGCCGCCTTCAGAAAACAGAGAGGTCATACCCTCTAAGTTTTGGTGCTGCTAAATTATTTAGTGCTTTAAACAAAATAGACTGTCAGGGTATAAACATGGCAACACTGGAGTGAATGTGAAAGAGCCAGCAGACTTCTCTGAGACTAGAATATTACCTAAGGTATTTTGCAGAAGTTGTCTACGTATTTTCTTTGTTCCTGTCCTCCATGAGTTAGTATTCATAGAATTCAGAAATCACTGACATACAAATGAACAACCTTTTCCCTAACGAAATTCAAAAAGGGCTTGAAAATTGATGTATAGTAGGATAATATGCCGCTGAGCATGTTTTTGTTGTATGATAATCTCATTTTAAAGTTGATTGACAGCATATGGCCATTACAGTATATTTTAGTTTTGGGATTATGGCATTAATAATGCATGCCTCGTTATGCATTTATTCTGAACTGAAAAGAAGTTTATTCTAAGACTTAATCCCTTTAACCAAATATGCAGTATTTCTGTAAGCTACTTTACATAGGGGGAAGATCAAAAAAATCACACAGTTTTTATTAACTATTTCTTTGATTACTTGATGACAAACATAACATTTTTCTGTTTTGCTGTAAATTTGAGTCTGATGAAAAAAATGTTTAACATTTTTTTGCATTCAATGGAAGTTTCTTTTGAAGAATATGATCACATTTGATTGCAAAAAACCCTATAAAATGCATTTTATTATTTTAGCAAGAGGAAGGTTTATATTTGCCTGTCACAAAATCTGTTATTCCAGAATTTTTCTGAACAGCATAATGAACCCTTCTTATCCATCACCATTCCCACCCCCAAAACACATAGCAAACCTCTGTAAATCCTGTCTATATAATTTAATGTCCATCTAGCCTTTAGTTTGAACTTTAGGTGTGGACAGAAAAATACATTCAGATCACACTCTTGAAATGCTTCATGTCAAAGTGTCTCTTTTGTCTGTTATTAAGAATGAATGATGCTTTATTTCCATTAATATTGTACTTATTTCCAGTGATATGATAGAACACTTAACAAGTAATAAGAAGTCAGAGAATTAAAATAATGCTTGCAGGTTAGCAACCTAAATCGGGAAAGTTCTAGACGTAAAAATAACTCAAAATAACTTATTCTCCCTCAGAAATCAGAGAATATTTTTTTAAATGAGAGAAGGTTGTGTTAGGGGTATATGCTGTAAGAAAAATCATCTTTAGGAATGAAACTGAGACATATTTTGCTTGGATACAAAAGAGAAAAGCTAACTTACATGTGGTATTTATACTCGGGAAAACTTGATGCTGAAATTCTAATTTAATCAGTTTTAGAGATAGAGGAAAATCAAATGGGATTAGAAGACAACCGATTTCCAAGTGAAATGTACTAGCTAACATGGCATATGATTGGACTCTGGGGAGAGTCAAGGTGGTAGTCATTTGTAAGTTACATCTTTCCTCAGATTTTGGGTGAAACTTTCAGTTGAGAATGGTATGGACTTAAGATGAGACTTGCTTGATATGCACCCATTTTTCTCCCAGCTGAGGAAAAAAAGAAGTGATTGCATTCAGCTATCTTTTATGTAGTCAGCTGGAGGTGTCTGAATTCATGCTGTGAAAGAGCTAATGTATTCTTTTCAAAAGGGCCAGGAAAAAAATTTCCTGAAGCAGTGAGACTGGCTGAGGTCAACCCAAGGCTTGCTGATGTTTTCATAAGCTTTCAGGGATGACAATTTGAGAAGCAACTTGATAAAACTGTCAAATGGAATATGCTAAGCATGAATAATAATGTCAAATAGATTAACTAGTAGGCAAGAGCTGATTTTCAGTGGTAATATCTCTCAAAGCATGCCGGCTGTTCATTTACTGCAGAAAATAGAATATAATAGATTGTGAGAACTTGTAACTGGGAATAGGATTTTCTAGCATCATTCATCACAAGGTTGGTGGGGGTTTGGGTTGTTTTTTATTGTTTGTTTGGGGGGTGGTTTTTTTTTGCTTTTGTGAGATTTTGATTGGTTGGTTTTGGTTGGGTTTTTTGTTTAAGTCTTCCCGTACATATACTCTGGATATATGTCTACCTTTGCATATATCTGTACTTAAGAGATGTGAAATGCTGCTTTGTGTCCCACTTCAGTATTCATGATCTTTAATCTGCGTGTTCAGGTCATCAGATAACAAGATTAGGAAACAGGAGAGCTCCTTAGGTTTTGTTTATGAAGAGTAACAACTATCTAAGTATTTACGAATGAGTATTTACGCTTTCAAAATATCTTACACAGTTGTACCTTAACCAAAGAAAAGTATTTTCCTGTCTCCTAAAGAATCTTTCTTGTCACATCCAGGTCTTTAAAGCTAAAATTATTTCTAAACACAGGTTATCGACACTGGAAATAGAAGAAAGAGCACAAAGTCTTGGTCTGTTTGAGACTTTGAAAACAAGTCCTGAAACATTACATGAGCACATGGTTAAATATGTTTACCCAAGTATTGAAGGCAGAGATCATCAGCGGTTGCTTTATTATTTTACGCTCCTTGAAAACTGTGGTTGCTCAGAAGTGGTGAAGCATGCTGTTAAACCTGAAACGCACATTCGACTCCTGAAGAAATTCAAAGCAGTTGCACCAGGTAGGAGAGTTCCTGTTTCTTTTCTTCATAGCTGTGTTTATTTTTCTTTTACATGAGTGTTGACATGATTATGCTCATCTAGTCTATACTCTCCAGGTCATTTCCAATGAGCATATCAGATGAATGCAAGTAATTTAGTAGATTAGTCGTATTTTATAGGACTAAGTTTCTTCTCTTTGTGTTACTGGAAATTGAGTTTACTCTGTCACAGCAAGCAAAAAAATATTAAATCCGGGTTTCTGTGGGTGGTGCAAGTTAAAATTATTGGCAGTGGTTCATAGTGAATTTTTGAAGAAGAAATGCAGACCTCCTAGGGCATAATTTTTAACAACATAAGTTTAACATGAATATTCTCAAAGAATTTAAGACAGTTTATATTTCAGAAGTCTAAATTATACGATTTATTAGGAACCTCGTGTATCAGACACTAACTTTGCTGCAGAATTTGGAGAGATTGTGCATATGAATTCATGTACTGCAGGAAGAAAAAAGGCAATGTTTTTTGGGGGGAGGAGGGATTATCTTCAGTTCTTATTGATTTGTTTAAACACTCAAGTTCTGTGATGCTTGTCCAAGAAAAATCTGTCAGAAATTATTGTTTGCCTTCAAAGCTAGTTTTAAATATTTCCGAAAAAAATGTTTGTTTTGTTTTGTTTTGTTGAGTCCTAGGACCATACATCAGACTTAAATGAATCACTTTGTATGGTAAAAAAATTAAATCTATTGTATTACACCCCTAATTAAAATTCTCAGTGTTCAGCAG